CAGCAGCAGCAGCAGCAGCAGCCGCAGCAGCAACAACCGCAGCAGTAGCGGTAGGAGCAGCAGCAGCAGGACCAGCACAAGCAGCAGTACTAGCAGCTGAGTCGATGTGGCAGCGGCGTCGAGATTGGATTATTGACGTCGGCTCGTCGGCGCGCGGCCGTCCGCGACGACAGTCGACATCTACATGAAAAAGATCGCTAACGAACGAGAAAACGCGCGCCATTGCTCGATACTGCAGTCGCACAACCACTTACCGCCCACCGCACCGTGTGCGTGCGTGCGTGCGTGCGTGCGTGCGTGCGTGCGTGCGTGCGTGCATGCGTGTATCTATGCCTATGCCTCTGCATATCTACATATCTACGCTTCTTCCCTCCCCCCTCCTGTATCTATGCTTCCTTTTGCCTCCCACCCGTGTATCTACGCTTGGTCCTTCAGCCTCCATACATATTCTATACTTCCTTTTACCTCCCCGTGCCTCTATGTTTCCTCCTTCCTCCTGCATATATCAAGAGCTATCTATGCTTCCTTTTACCTCCACAGTGTATCTATACTTCCTTTTACCTCCCCCGTGCCTCTATGCTTCCTCCTGCATATATCTATGCTTCCTTTTACCTCCACAGTGTATCTATACTTCCTTTCCACCCTTCTTTACGTACACGTACGCCGTGAGAGATCTCCCTCACGATGACAAAATCAATTCGGTACCACTTGGATTAACATACCCATCTTACATAAGCTGGTGCTGCCACCTAGCGAGCGGAATATACATTTTCCGTGGCCACCTCGAGTTCGTAAGCGGGTCGACCACTGACTGGCAGACAATCAGTCAAGGAAAAGTCATACAATAGTATAAGGTATCTGACATAGAGAAGCGTCGATCATCAGATGGTTAGCAAGTAGTCAGATAACATGACCACCTTTTACGTCGAAGTCTGTGAGTTCAAACCCCAGTCACTAATGAGAGTTATCTCAATGCGTGAAAAAGGTGACTCAATATTTGGGACTAAATCCCTCTCGGCTCAGATTACCATGTAAAACGGCAAGGCCATCTCAAGTAATTGAAACGTAAAGTAACGGTTAGCAACATAAAACAGTGTCAGTGACCACTGTCAGTGTTAGAAATGAGGTCGGCTTGGCGCCATTGTTATCGAGTGCTGAAGTAAGTGTCTACGTTTCAGAGGGACACTGTCCAATAACGTAAGGAGTTACAACAATACACGATCGTCAAGTATCTAACCGATGAAAAGTGACAGAAGATACAGCCACGATTCTCGAGAACGTAAAGGGCTCTGTACATAACACAGAAATACAAAACTACAGTACACAATTTATTATCCGAAACCCTTGGGACCAGACAAATTTCGTAATTCGTAATTTTTCGAATTTCAAAATGGTAGTACAGTACAGGTACACATACTGTATATCCTGCAACTAGCCAAAACTAAAACCCAAGTTCTCAAGAGGCCAAGGGCTGTACCAGTACAGTACAATATGTATGAGTAATGACAAACACATTAATATTTCTGCAGTGAACCTTGTGCAGCCAAACGCGAGCTTTGGTGTGCAGACAACCTCCACAAAAAAAATTCCGGTTTTCAGAGCTTTTCGGTTTTCAGAATTTCGAATAATAGATTGTGTACTGTACATACGCAAATACATAGACGTCGCACATGACAGACGGCAACGACCGTAGGATGTACTTACGATTTCGAAGAAATAGAGGGCTCTGTCGTAGTTCTTCAGGCCCGTGTAGATCATGCCGCCGTAGTAGTAGTAGGCGAGGAAATGTTTCACGTCGTACGCGCTGTTCTGTGGGTTCGCCGAGAAAACGCAATGGGAAAAGACATAGATTCGCGTGTAATCGGGATAAAGTTCGCGCGGGCGTCACACATCCCTTCTTGTCACTCGAACGGCGCCACCTAGCTGCATTACCGTGGAAACGATTATCGCAGTTACATGTAAGCATTTCTGCAAGAAGCCACATCTCGATTTTGTCTCGAGCGTTCAGGCTTTGCGGCTTCTTCCGCGTGTTGGCGTGCATCACTTTAAAGACACCGCAGAGCGACTAGTGGTGACATCTGTTGGCAACAAAGGAAGTCTTTGCGATTCTCGCTAACATTAGTCGCCCGCACGCGAGCGAGTACACACTCACCTCCTTACTGATGTCTGTGATGTCTGCATCCAGAAAATCCAACGCTGGCTTGAAGCACTTTGCGACCAAGCAGAGCTGCAAAGCAAACAGATAGCGTGAACAAATGCACACAGCTACAGCATGACCATAGGTGTACAGCAGACAAGGATATAACTCGAGGTTCAAGCAGGACATCTTTATGGGCAGAGTAAAGAGTAAATCCATGACCGTGATCACATGCTAGCAATACTCTTGATCTCACAGTTACCCGTTTAGCAGAGCGTTGAATACATTTAGTATGCTAAAGTAAATAGTACAGCTATAATAGCTAATGTTCGCGTAACTCAAACAATACCATTACGAGATAGCATTGGCATGTTATAAACAATATTACAACTAAATGGTGCACAATAACGACAAGCTCTTCACAACACAACAACACTTATATTATATTATATTATATTATATTATATATATATATATATCAAGAGCTAATAATACATAGAGTGTACAACGGAAAAACGGGAAAATGGTGCTATTTCACGACATGATTATTCTACTTTGCCTGCGAGTCTAGAATAATTTTATGGTATTGCATTAAGCAGAATTCTTTGCTCTCTAAAACAAGACCAACCGCTTGTCAATACGATACTCCTAGGCTGAGATATTGGCTCGTACACTTCCCCTCCCACAGACCTCACGGCGCTTCGAATCCACATCAGTCAGCAACCTAAACGCCCCTAAGCATTTTGGTTATCGATTTCCGTCACCGCTTGGAGCGCTAATAACTGATGTCACATGCCCAAATTTGGTTCTCTTACTACACCATATAGTAACTGAGCTGCGTTGTAGAAACTTAATTAAGAAAACATTGCTGGCTCCATCATGACGGGCATTAGCCGTGCTAGGAAAGATAATGGGAGATAAGGGCATAGGCGATGCCCCCGAAAGTCACCTATGATAACCGAAACGCCGTTCATTCATAAAGTTATGGCGGAAAAACCGAACTTTCACGAAGCAACGCTTAGGGGCGTAGGTTGATGACTCCCGGGGTACGAGGCGGCTTAAGGCATGTGGGAGGGGAGGTTTAGGAGCCAATATCTCAGCCTAGGAGTATCGTATTGACAAGCGGTTGGTCTTGTTTTAGAGAGCAAAGAATTCTGCTTATTGCAATACCATAAAATTATTCTAGACTCGCAGGCAAAGTAGAATAATCATGTCGTGAAATAGCACTATTTTCCCGTTTTTCCGTTGTACACTCTAGGTATTATTAGCTCTTGATATATATATATATATATATATAAACATATAAACATGCAATATGTATCAGACAGGTATACGTATAACTTCTGACTGAGGTGCAGAGCACACACACACGCTAGCTACATACCTGGCAGAGATCAGCATGGATCGATGTCAGCTGTGACGGGTAAAGCTGAATCTTCTGAATAGCACTGCTCACTAGTGAGATGCCTCGAATCGGCTGAAATAACGAGCAGACGATAAATATCGCTCCGTACACCAAGCAGTTAACCATTAATTAAAATATTCAATTACATTTCGTTACTTTAATTATTTTCTTAACATCAACAGGGTTTCTTCTGAGGAAAAATTAGACAAAGGAGGTAATGGCCAGTTTGGGAAAAAAACGCGCATGATGGATTCAAAGGCATGCCGTAGGCACAAATTGTTAAAATTTGAATGTCTTAGATTGCATTTGAGAACATTTTCACAACCGCGATGTTAAATTTGACAACGGCGGTGTGCAACTGTGCCTCTTATGTATAAGAAACCCTGATCAACATCTCTTTGAGGTTGCAATAGATGGCGCCCCTGCAGAACAGCTATAGTGGTGATAGCTTGCTTTCAGATTTATATATATGAATTACGGGTTATAGTAGGGGCCTACACATGAGTGAATGAGGTCACAGTCATACCTGCTTCCTTTCCACGAGCTGACGGGTCATTTGGTGACACAGCTCTGAATCTGTATTAAAATAATCAAGCAAAGATGCAGTTTGAAAAATCGGGAAATTATTTATTATTACTGGCAATGGTTAAAAACATATATATTAGTTTTATTTGTATTATTATGCAACTATATTTTATAACTAAATGTGATAACACTATCCCTTTAGATCAACAGAAAAAATAATTATGCATCAGCTGAGCTGTAAATTTTATACATTAAAGGTAGCTTCCCTCGAACTTCCCCCGTAAATTTGTGTAACAAACCACTGTAAAAACGCAAGAAACAAACCAACAAAACTTTAACTAAACGTTAGCTTTGAAAATAAAACTGTAAAAATAAGTATCAAGCATATATTTGCTCATCGAAGAAACAACTCGAAAAATGCTTTTCGCCGCAGTTCCGTAGGCGCCATATTGTTTATATTTGAGCAACCATCATTTCAATCAAGTCAATGTAGCCACTTTCAGATACCATAACTTTTAATATAAATCATTTTATGAAATCAAACTTTGTAGTCTAGACAGAGAGGCACCTCGACTGTTTATGTTATTAATTTCAGAATTTCTACCGTAACCGTTTTCGAGATAGAACGTGCTAAAAACCCAACAAAATGTAATCCGAACTAACAGCGACCTGACAGAACTCTCGACTCACTCACTCGTTAACTCGCCCAGAATACTATTATCTCCCAGCAACAAAAACGTTGCGCTTTTCCTATCAGCTAGCCATGTACATGACCAGAAAAAACCATTGGGTCATAACCTGCCAGTGTGTATTATTGTACATAGCATGGTTCATACATACATAACACAGGAAGTGTGCGGATCAGAACAATCGCCGCATAGTGGCAACGGTAAACGCGTTTGAAACATTCGACCAGAACGTTTCACTTTGTAGTCTAAAAGCTTTGAATGAACGTATTCCTGAGCATTTTTTTTCACCTATCACACATATATAGGCAAGTAGAAGCGTGCAATGTTAAAATAATTTATTTTTGCCTGATTTTATGTTTGCTGCTAGAAAGTTCGAGGGAATATCCCCCCAACTCGTAGTATCAAGGGAAATAACCCATTTTGTTAGAATGAGGACTTAACAGTACACTCATATCTATATATAATTGGTTCATGGTAGTTATTAGATAACCTTAGTAAATCACACGTGCCACTAGAAACTTACACGAGTCTGTTGCAAATCTTACTTGCTCGCCATTACAACCAAGTATGAACTCTTGAGTCAATGCAAACAGCCCTTCAAAGTCTGGTATGTTCTGTAGTTCATACTTGACAACTCTGCAAAACAAGATAGACACTCACAATGAACAAGTAGATAAATGCATGTACACATACGCAAATAGATACGCGTCCACACAGATACGCATAAATACACACTTTCACGCACGCGCCCACATGCGTGTGTGGACACACGGATGTATAAATGCATGCCCGCTCATCCACATACACACATGGACACATGTTCACACAGGCATGCATACACACACACACACGCATGGATCAACACCACCATACAACCACCACTACCACCACCACCACCACCACGAACAACAACAACAACAACAACAACAACAACAACAACAACAACATCCATGACTTACAAGATAGCAAGGACCCCGAGTGAGTGCTGCTGCAGGTCTAGGGTTGCTAGTACATTGTCGAGGTGTGAAGCATGCTTCGCAAGAATGTCCATGCTCTTGTTGATAAACTCGCATAGTTGGCTGAAGTTTCCTGCAACACAGTGTCAGTGGCAGATGATACCATAAGGTAACCCAGTGGAGCACTTCTACAGTGGCAGTGTAGACATGCTCGAATGTTTTTTGTCAGCTTTCTAGTTCAAACTGTGACAGCAGTTTGCAGAGCATGGCACATGCGTGCCCGTGTTATATGTGACACTCACGTGTTCTGCACATAACTTTTTCAGTAAGCACCATTTTTACGCCAACCAATCGACTGAAAATGTACGTAGTCACCTGAACGGGAAATATATGCAATGCACGTGGACTAGATCAGTAGATGCCACCTACAAAATCTTAGGTGTGGGTGGATCGACATCCAACATACTGACTGCACACCGTCTACGCAGCTCGCACTAGCTGTGCACTAGTTAGATTTTATCGAGCATAGCTACACACTGCAGACGAGATGGGCTGTGACGCACGTGTGCTGTAAAATTACCAGCATAACATGAGTGCAACTATAGATTTAAGAAAGTACCCGGTATGTGCCTTCCGGCTTTTGTACGGCTTGCACAGTCAAGTCAATTAGCCGATATTGCTTGCTACCAACCGAATAATCATGAACTTGTAATGTAAATAAATAGTAAAATACCACTATTTCACTAACAGCAGGAGTTCATTTTGTGAGTCCTGGAAGTTAAAGTAACGCTCATAGGGTCTATGTCCCCCAGGGTACTGCCGGAACGTACCCTGGTCACTATTTCAGTATTTGATATGGTTAGGGTTAGGGTTAGGGTTAAGGTTAGGGTTAGGGTTAGGGTTAAGGTTAGGGTTAGGGTTCGGGTTAGGGTTAGGGAGTAGGCGTAGGCGACTCCCTAGACTCGTTAGTGGAGTAGACGAGGTACGGTCCGGCATATTAGATAGTACCAGAGTACGTTCCGGTATACCGGAGGACATAGACCCTCTCAGCTAAAGTAACACTAACAGTAACATAACAACACTCAACAGTAACAAAACTAACATAACAATATTTTAGTCTGCGTTTATTTTGCATTGATGCGACAAGCACAGGTGAAAGGACGTCTACAAATGTCTGCTAGTGGGCTTGTTGTATTTTACTTTTTAAATCGTCTAATTAATTGGCATTGTACCTTGGGCCGACAAATTTCTGACATTATTCACAAATTGCTCTAAAGCCGCCGCCATCGTGAAATCGGGTCGCGTGCATCATCCATAATTTACACATTGGCTCATTGCTACAGAAACTGCTGTGAAGGCAAATTTTACAAATTACACGTGTAAATTATGATTTACAAAATCTTAAGCGTATCTATGTTTAAAGAAATAAATAAATTCTACAAATATCGAAGAACTAAATATTTACAGAAATTGTTTTTATCAGAACTTAAGCGACCTTCGACGCGATACATGCGAACATTCAATCGTTGATTCTAAAGACTCAAGCCGTGTTAGATGAGAATCTTTACGATTTTTAACTATTTAAAAAATTACAAACTAAATTTTTCGCATTCGTAGTACATTTTTGTTAGATTCTGGGAAGATTAAGTTTATTTGTAATTGTGTAGCGTATAATTACTAATAAATCAACAACCCGTTTTTATACAGAGGTCAGCACTATGCGATTTGAAGATTGCACGTGAAAATTCTCCACTTTTAGTACATTTCTTACTATCTTAGTGTAGTTTCTACGTACTTGCTGGGAAGTGACAGCGCTATCCGAAATAGGCAGTTCAACTTAAATATCAACAAAATGACAGCTAAGATTTCAGAGGTGAGTGACCCGAATGTAGCCTATTTGAATTCGTTTTTCACAGTCCCAATTTCGTTGGTACAATGCCGAATGCGGCAATGCCAATCCCAATGGACACAGGCAATTGAAGCGTTTCAATAAAATATAATGCTAATTAAATACGAAATCTATTTACTACCAAATTCCTAATGTTTCTATACTCTCTTTTATCTATTATTGCCAACAGTTTCCTGTAAATTCCGTCTAAATCCTACGTCCAACCATACGCTTGGCCATAGCTCTTAGCTACTACTAGTACTACTACTTAGTGCTATAAGGCGCTTACAATTAAGCTGCCGCTGGCGCTATAGACCGACCCTGCTGACTGGCCCGGGCTGCCTCAGCGCCGCCAGAAATGGCCGTGTGAAGTTCGCAAATCGAATGTTTGTTCACAAGAAATACCGCAGCTTATACCATATGCAACGATAGTTAGCAGGTTCACATTTTAGTAGCGCTATAACTTAAGACATATTCACTTCGGATAATGAGCATTAATTGCCTACGCACACGTCGTTTTATAGCTCGGTATAATCGGGGATAAGTTGGTCCATCGCATGGCCGCCATGCGTCGCGTCCTATAGCCCAGCGGCAGTTAAGTCAAGGCGTTAGTACTAGAGCTAAATGCTGCCAGCGCATTTGCTTTCGCCGGCGGCGACTGTTAGCACGCCTTAGCACCTAATAGTAATAGTAATATATTATAGCAGGTAGGAGCGCAGGATTCACAAATTCGGCTTGACGCTCGGCTGCGATTTCACACTTTCACGAGCAACCAATAGCACATCCAACAGCTTCGTCTTTTGTTTTCTCTTTGCAACCAACCGAGTGTTCACTTGTTATAAAAACAATGTCTGCTGTTCGTAACCGAGCTGTGTCTAACAGGCGAAATCACACAAAGACTGACGAAATTCTCTGCGTTCGCGGAACGCTTGCCCCCATAATGTAAATGGCTGTCAGAATCAGCGGCTATATAGAGCTGGTACTCGCCGCTGCTCACCTCAAATTAGCCCATCGAGTGGACTAAGCTAAGGCCGAGCAGGTGGGAGCGAGTGCCAGTCTATGGAACTATAGTGGCGCGCAGGCGGCCGGCACTGCAGTTCCAAACCTGCCCGTATGAGGCTCCGCGGCATTGGAACGTTGCAAAACGTTGCCAGCGCTTGGCAGCGGCAAAGAAATGGAGGTCACGAATGCGCCGGTAGAATGTTTCTGAGTCTGACATTTACATTTACGGGGCAAGGTTCGCGAACCGTTTGAGAATTTCGTCAGTCTTTGTGTGATTTCGCGGCATGACACAGCTCCGGTTTAACGACAGAAGACATTATGTTTTTATAAGGCACGGTGAATCACTGTTGTGAAAGAGAAATGTTTCAAAAGATGGCAAGCTGTTTGATGTTGTATTGGTGCTCTGAAAGTGTGAAATCAGTGAGCGATCGAGCAGTGCGAATGCTTGCGCTCATCCGCGCTTTCCTACCTGCCTATATATATTAGTGTAAGCGTGCAACAGTCGCGCCGCGAAAGCTATGGCGCGGGCAGCGTATGGTTGGACGTAGGATTTGGACGGAATTTACAGGAAACTGTCGGCAATAATAGGTGAAAGAGAGTATAGAAACATTAAGAATTTGGTAGTAAATAGATTTCGTATTTAGTTAGCATTATATTTTATTGAAACGCTTCAAGTGCCTGTGCCAATGGACCCGATTCAATGGTAGGTTGAAGTTGATCGTACCATACCATTGCCAGTACGTTATGTCCGTTATGCATTGTCTCGACGTGTAACATCAAATCATAAGATAATTATTTGTTTAGAAATACACGTAGTTGCTTAACATTTTCTTAGAGTTAAGATCTTGTATTTATTTATAGGACGTGGATATTTGTCCGAGCATCGGACACCTGTTCGTATGCGCTATTCGTCCGAGCAGTTGTTGCGCATGCGCTGTTCATGCTGTATTACATAAATGTAATATAATGCTAATCTAGGTTAGGGAGTCACCTACTCCCTAACCCTACCCCTAACCCCAACCCTAACACTAACTGTAAACCGACTCGGCTCTCTTATATACGCGAGTCATAGTACCAAACACTATCTATGGTGTATAACCACATACGCAAAACATGTATGCAGGGGTGTCACAGCCGTAGGGCTGCCGTAGCAAAACGCTACGGGCCCCCAGCCTAAAGGGGCCCCCAAACTTTCAAAATAGCCTCAGAATGCTGGAAATAGCATTTTAGAGCATCTAGATTTCAAAATTTTCTGGGGGGAGACCCCCTAGACCCCCCTTCACACTTCCTACCTCCGGCACTCGTGACATGCGCCTGCGGCATGCAACATGAACAGCGCATGCGCAACAACTGCTCGGACGAATAGCGCATACGAACAGGTGTCCGATGCTCAGACGAATATCCACGTCGTTATTTATACGCAATAGATGGGTGTCACTGCTGAATGATGCTGTGTCACGGTCACAGCCTTTTCGGCTATACTTTATCATATGTATAATAATGTGTTTGGTGCAATCTTTCTGCATTTACCAGTTAAGGCTAGATGTGGAACAGCTGAAAGGACTTCTAGAGACGGCTACTAGGAACCGTGTCAAGGATTTGCTTGTTCTGAACATAGCGAAGCTGGAGACTGAGATAACGAAACTAGTGGTAGGAAGATAATTAATTATGGCATATATATATACATCTATACTATAAACCAGCTAGTTCTCTATCACTTCTGTGCCTGCAATCGTACAACTTTCGAACTTTTGGAAAGTGCAACTAGGTGATAGTAAATTGAAGCACAGGTTAGCATGACTGAGTAATGTGGTTTCTGATCATTGGTTTTTATGTACCAGAGGATCTGTTCATGCACAATATAGTTCCAGTTTAGATGAACTAAACATGCAACATTTCTAGCAAGCAGTTAGAATTATCTTGAAGATGCAATGCAACACATTTATTAGGATTTGTAATTGTAGCAGTTAACCTGCTAATGCTAAAGACTAAGGTTTAGTCAGAATTGTGTTCATTACTGCGCTAGGTTGCCCAAATGGTGCAACACACACAGGTCGACAGTGTTTATGTTACGAAGTGGCTATATGCCCGGCAGCCGGGCACGGTCTTCGATTTCCTAAATGCCCGGCAGTTTTTAATTTTCGGTGATTTCTCGAGTAATCAGTGTACTACGTGATCCAAAGTATTCTACATTTGTTTAGAAATATCAAGCATGCGTGCGAAAATGTCCGGTGCACTATAATCTGTATCACACCTGCTTCGGCGGCTGCGGTTTGAAACTGTAAACAACTGTGTTTATTTGACTGTGGATTTCAATTAGACATTTCTTACTAAACAGCAGTGATATTGGACAAACTAATATGCGTTTGGATGTGAGGTTATTTACTTATTAACTACACAAGGTGCCAGTTACTCGAGCATTTGTCAACTTTGCATAATCAATGGGCCTATTATGCCTTTAAGAGAATTCATAAGTTTATTGTACTGGTCCATGATCAAACATAACATATCATATGCTTATTGAATAAGATCATATATTTTAAAGATGGGGTGTTCATTTTGATACTTATAACCTGGTATGCTGTACCACATAGTGTTTAGATGGGTTCCAACTCCAAGTTGTCTGTTTAGAAAAAAAGCCAGGCAACAAGTAACAGTACTGACTTCCTTCTGTAGTAGATTGTGCCGTGATTGGAGGAAAGGTTAACACTTAACAGTAGTGCAATCTAAGCTACCCTTAACAGTAGTGCAATCTAAGCTACCCTTAACAGTAGTGCAATCTAAGCTACCCTTAACAGTAGTGCAATCTAAGCTACCCTTCCGATTCGACACATGTATTGCAATTTTTGCGTAGTTAAATGGAATGTAGTCAGTGATTGGAAAATGCTAATGAGAGATTGTATTTGTCTAGCATAGTTTTCCTATATGTTTTAGGAACGGGAAGAATCAGCTGCAAAGGAGGGAGGTGATAGCAATACAGGGAAGCCAAGACCTGTTCAAGCTAATATGCCTTTCCGAGTCAAGTTGTCAACATATGGTACTTGCACGTAGTTAGTTCCTCTTAGGAATTTCTGTGAGGTTTTTATAAACCGAACGATGATCTTCTAGTGCTGTACAGTCGCTATTTCATTTGCCTTTCTATAGCTACTAAGCTCAAAAATTTACTAGCTAACCTAAAAATTCCACCAGCCCCTGAAATGTTGTCAGATATAGGATCCAATTTATGATTCAATTGGAATATAAATATAGAGCCTGAACTATTTGACCTTTAAGAACTTTATATTCATATTTTTAGTTTTCATATCTATCTTTTTATTGAAGTTTATGTATAGTAATCATTTATTGATTTTTTTAACTATACACATTATTATTATAATTATAATAAAGAAAAATATAAAGTATAAAAAATATAAAGAAATTATAAGTCAATTATAATAAAGAAAATCTGCAATATGACAGTTCTTCCCTACTATTTAAATTGCCCTGGCCATTAACATTAATATGCTTAGACTTGTACGCACACAGTGGTACTTCTTCATTATCAGAGTTTTTGTGCAACTTCTGCTTGAGGCTCTATACCGTGTGCACTATATTCCGTCTTCTATCATCATTGAAATTTCTACTTTTATAATGTAGTATTGTTACATTCTGGTTGATTTGTGTTCTTTACAGGCTGGGAAAATGATGGAAAGTTCATAAAGGTCTACGTAACACTAAAGAATGTTCACAATATACCAAAGGAAAATGTTTCAGTGGAATTCACAGAGACGTAAGCATCTCTATCATTTTACATTAGCTTGTGAGACTGTTGGCAATAGGTAGTGCTTAATTAGCATTTCAAGCTAGATGATCATGACCATTTTTTGTTTCAGTTCAATGTCGCTTAACGTATCTGAGCTGGATGGGAAGAGCTATAACCTTCCAATCCACGATCTTCTCCAATTGATTGATCCCAGTTCAAGTTCTCACAAGGTTGGTTCCATAGAGTGTCATACTGCGAATATACTGACACTGCATTTTGAACACTGTACTTTGCATCTAGTTCAGGGGTTCTTAATCTGTGGTCCATGGACCCCTTTGGCGTCCGTGGATTAACTTCAGGGGGTCCGTGAACCAGACGCATTTGTGTGTATACAAAATGTGTGTGTATATTTTTATGTGTTTATGTGCATTTTTCTGAGGAGGGTCTGTATCTTTTACCAGATTCTCAAAGGGGTCCACGACTCAAAAAATGTTAAGAACCTCTGATCTAGTTCATGGCCGTCGTCGACCAGAATTGCTTCGTACTGTTTTATGTAATGAAAGATTGTATCCAAGTTTTGTCAGCAAGTCGATGGTGGATTAATGACCGACTTGGGTCGCCCATGAGTGCCTTCGCCGGTGATCGAGATCGAGTCAGAGTTGGCAGCTTCCCGGTCGTGTGATGCTGCTCCTTGCAATTTCAGGTGAAAACCGACATGGTGCTGGTGAACCTACGGAAGAAGGATGGAACGAACACGTGGAATCACGTGACGAAATCAGATGTGAAGAAAACAGATGCCAAGTAATAGCACGAACATATCTATACAGTGAACACGAAAGACCACTATAATAGCTGTTGCAGCAATAGTGCCGTTTTGTTATTTTCTAAAAGCACCCCTAGGTGGTAGAAATAAATAGCATGAGTCGGTGTGAGTACGTAGCTGTTTGATCTTCGATTTCTACTTATGTCTAGAAGATATACATTGTAAGATTTTTACCCAGATTTGTGGCATTTGATTGTTTAATGCTGAATACTAGCGTAAAGTCAGAGTTGTATGTATTAATGGGCTAAGCTGGTAAAATGCTGCAACAGGGGTCAAAGCAGTGTTTGTGCTACACGATGAAGGCTATTTTGGGTATCTGGTGAACAAAAGTAGAGACCCCCAGTGGAAAATTTGGGGTACAATTGAAAGTTCCCTCTTCCTGAAATATATATATATATATATAACTGTAGGTGACTAGTAAAGCAACCCTGAGTATACCATTATGATATATAGTGTGAATCTATGCATTGACCCATAATTACGTATTGTAATTTGTTGCAATGTGATGTTTTATTAGGGCTGCTGCACCCAGCATGGGAAAAGATGCCGGCGAGGACCCCAACAAAGCGATGATGAACATAATGAAGAAGATGTACGATGAGGGAGATGACGAAATGAAGAGATCCATTGCCAAGGCTTGGACAGAGGGAAAGGAGAAAGGTGGAGGAGGATTCCCAGGACTTCCAGGATTCTGAGAACCTCTAATGGGTTGTTAAGAAATATTCTAAAATTGTCTACACTTGTCTTCGGCAAAATGATTTCTATCAGTCTGAGCAGAGTGGTAAACTTATCGCAGCAATTATGTAACATGATCCTTTTCATTTTTTACGTCATTTTTTTAAATTTATAATTGTAGAATCTTGCACCCAGACACTATGACCCTCCTCATCGCCTGGTTTAAAGTCGTTGTGAAATTTCCTGATTGCCAGTTTTAGTTGTGGTATTGTAAGAATTTATTGAGCCAAGTAAAGTTTCAGTAGCAAGAAAGGCAGCACCTACTCGTTACATTGCAAGTTCAAGGGCAGATTGAAATTCTGTGATAAGCGTTCACAAAATTTGTGTTTACCTCTGTAATAATGTAATTTAAACTATTATCATCATTATATTTGTTGTAATTTTTGATTTGTTACATTAGAGTTGTGGTAGGACATGACAAACACACCCCGACGATATACTAGCATAATATACCCATGTTTTCTGATCTAATGGAAGCTTTTCCACTCATGGGAGCGCTACGTCGCACAGGCCTTGCTGACGTGACGATGTGTGCTTTTTGTTAATTTGCTGCCACAAACGAACAACGATATGCAAACAGATTTGAATAGCAGAAGCAATGCATTTATTCAACATATAAAGCATTTGCGAATTATAGAGAACTATGGAAACCTGCCACGCTATAACAATGGTTTGGCCGTAGGGTTCTACCAGAGGGTTATTCAGCTATGCTGACGCTCGCCAATGATAAGCAAGAATTGTCACGGCAAGTCTCACATAAAGGTGATTTCTAACAAGCCGAGTCATTTCAACCAAGTTCATCTCTCAAAATCGTCTGTAAATTATATGAATAATCATAACTCGTATAATTTTAACTGATATTCAACTGATATGTCTACACACTGCAATAGGATTTTGCAGAATTTCATCAAAACTGGAAAAAAAAACAATTGTAGTAACCGTTAAAAATCCATAAGAATTACTTTCCACAGAGTCCGCACAAATCTCTCCATCACACACTCACCACACTCGCAACAGCGTAAAAAAAACTAAAAATAAAAAATATTTCCAAATCTTAAATATAATCTCTATTGGTTCATAATTATTAAAGCTAGTATATCCTGTTTCGATTGGCTAACTTTCGTAACTTCACATTCTGGTGATGTCATCTGATGTGCTTGACTTGACAACATTTAATTAGCAAACAATTCCTATCTATACAGGCCATATATACAAAGAAATGCATGCTATAGTTATTTTGCGAGAACAATGCCAATACATGCCTATACTTTTACTAGACAGTACAGTAGACAGTAGACAGACTAGACTAGTCTTGTCGATACACCCAAAGAGGTTCCATATTGTCTCCGGTACAGTTTCATTCCGTTGCATGTCCTGATGCACAAAATGTCTAAATAAACATCTATGTAGGGATACCCACAAGCACCTCATTCAAACTGCTGAGCCACATCATGTACTGGCTCGCCCCTTTGCACCGCCGCTAGCCAATATTGCAGGCTAACTCCGTTGAACATGACCGCACGAGCTTACCTCTAAATAAACAACGCGTTAAATACATGGTTGCGTACAGACACGTAAACGAGCGCTCGACGTCGAAGAGATAAGATTATATAAATGCGCGCGTGTAAACGTCGCCCGCCGCTCCCATCTCAAAAACGACCATACCCGAGTATAGAGAAACTAGCATTCAGAAGTCGGCGTACTCACAACTTCAGCACGCCGGACCGCAATAGTAAATACGCATCCGGTAAACGTCGAATCTTCCGCAAGCGGATATATCGTAAATACTCGTCAGCTAGACATCAGACGCTCAAAACCAATTAATAGTAAATACACGTCGGCTGGAACGCGAGATAGTCTTCACCGACTAATAATAAATACACATCCGTTAAGATGTATTGGATACTTTGCTAGCAGACCAAAACCCAGCACGCAATGCGTAGGAAATGTGCTCGCTTATATTTATACGTCGGGCATATTATTACGTCAGGCAGCACGATGTGGTGCGGGTGTACACTGCTGGACACGGCGTGGCAACATTGCAGGCGTCCTCGCGTGCATGGCTTCTACCTCAAACATGAAGTGAGGGATAGTAACGACGATCGATAGCAGTGACAACCGACTACTACACCACAGTGCAGACACAGCGTCAACCCGAGACATGCACCCCTTCCGTGTCCTGTCCTGCCAAACTAGGTGGGAGTGGTTAGTGCGCGTGCAACGGCTATACACTGCAAGCTAGCTCATTGCATCGCATCATACGACATCGTCTAGCCATCTCCCGCAGGTATTTGCCTGTGTCTACTCGTCCGCGATTGTCGCATCTTTGGTAGATATGTAGTACATTGACGATATTTTTGGTTAAAAAGCAGCGAATCTGCGATCAGTTCTCCCTGTATCGTATAGGATAGACGGTGCAGTATTTCCTTACACAGTACAAACAGCATCTTGTTTACTGCCCTGCAGTACATCCAGTAAGTTATTTATGCCTGCCCTGCAGCAGCCACTGTCACTCAGTGAACCTTTTCCACCATCGCACCGTTTGTAATCGACATAAAATTAACGCTAAGAGGTACGCAGTGCCCTGCACACATAAATAAGTTTATCATCGTAAGTTGTATGGGAATACGTTTATAAATCTCCAACGCAGTTGATGGATGTCTTGGAATCATCAAATTACCATCCACCTGCCGTTCACCACATTACTCTACTGCCGGAAGCGCCCACAAGGTGGCAGTCCTGTCTGCACTAGTGGAGAGGAAACAGAGCTGTGTCGGGTGCCAGCGACATTGGATGACCTTGTCCTTGTGTTCACCAACGACAACACTGGGCAGCGGGCAGGTCAGGTCACCTAAAACACGCAGGCACGGATTAAACACGTACAGATGACAATCACACAAAAATACACATCAAAACCACCGACTGCAAACATACCTGACGTTCATTTTCACGCATCATTTTCAGCGCATTAGCAAAGTTTTACACAAAATAGAGGATGGTAAACTAAAAAGTTGGTGGTAGACATCGTTAGTTATTCTTATAATTTCGATATGATTGATTACTTAAGATGATCATGATATGATATATAATAATTTTTCCTCTTTAGTGATACTCTACTTACTTACTATTATGCAGTTGTTATCAAGTTATTAGTTTCTCTTGCCCGCGAAACGAAAATCCAATAACCCAGGTTTCATTAAACGTTATGACAGTACCCCTAATCTTCTACCCGACAATTCTGACGCCCCCTTCCCTCACAGTAATGGCAGAAAATCATGGCGAAAAAGGGGGGAAATCGGAATCTCATTCGCGCTTTCTATTCCGAAATCAGAATTTCTATCGAATCTGCTATCCCGACATCCCCTGTTCCCCCGTTTCTTTTTTATCGCCATCTTGATCATTCTGAAGCCCCTTCCCCTATGACATGGCAGAAAACCATGGCGAATAAGAGAGGAAAACATCGATCATCGAAATTTATAGTTATCTATTCCGAAATCAGAATTTCTATCGAATCTGCTATCCCGACATCCCCTGTTCCCCCGTTTCTTTTTTATCGCCATCTTGATCATTCTGAAGCCCCTTCCCCTATGGCCATGGCAGAAAACCATGGCGAATAAAGGAGGAAAAAATCGGATCATCGAATTTATGGTATCTATTCCGAAATCAGAATTTCTATAGAATCTTCTATCCCGATATCCTGTCCCCCCCCGTTTCTTTTCCCCCCATTTCATTTGTGACAACGCGGCGGCGACGCGGGGGGTGACGCTCACCCTGTAGGTTGGTGAGCACGATGCGCTGGTCGTAGGAGCCTGTCAGCAAGTAGTAGGCGCTCGGAGAGAAGCGGGCCGTGCGGATCTCGCCGGCGTGCGGCTGGAACGTCTGCACGACGCGGCCGCCGTGCACGTCGTACAGCATGCACGCGTTGTCCTCGTGGCCCGACGACAGCAGACGCCCCGTCGGGTCGACGGCAACCGTTGCCACGGGCGACGCTGTCAGGGGGGGGGGAGGCACACGGACACATTAGTTGGCAAATGGCGTGAAACTCGAAAACCACAGAAATATGAAACGAGGTAAAATTTGATTTGAAATGCAGGCAGTCTAGATACGAATGCTTTTCGAGGTGTTGTTGTAAGGAATATAGTTACATCAAAGTAGGGAAGCACATGAGAAAAAAACGAGAACCAGACTTTACTAGCGTTGGAACCATAATTAAAATCTTAATTAAATAAATTAATAATTAAATGAACATCTTGGTGTATCCATTATCGAGAACATCTAATGTTAACAATAACAACAACATCAATATGATAATAATAATAATAATAATAATAATATTATTATTAATATTATTATTGTTATTTATATTATTATTATTATTATTATTGCATCATCTTGCACGGTAGTAAGTGTAATGTCAGTACCTGGGCTGGCACAACCCAGGGGGCCAGCTGGCGTAATTCTGTGAACACAACCTCCAGACCTGAGATCCCAGATGCGAGTGGTTTTGTCCTGACTGCCACTAGCGAAGCAAGGCCCTCCCCAGGCGTAGAGAGAGAGCACATGACCTAACCATTGCCAGAATAACAATAATGAGACCCAGGGCGAAGATCCTCAGAGAACGATGAGACAGGGAGAGAGACAGATAAAGAGGACGAGAGAGAGAAAGAGGGAAAAGAGAAAGAGAGCGACGGAGCCAGGACGAGGCGGAGAAAGAGACGAAGAGAGAGAGTAGATAGATAGATAGAGTAGAGAGAGAAGAGACAGGAGAGTGAGAAAAGGAAGGAGAGAGAAGAGGGAAAGAAAGTTGACAATACACAGATAACAATGACAAGAAACTGTACAAGTCTACTTCTTTTAATCTTTTTTGTCTGAAAGTTACGAAAACTGATGGGCCGTATGAGAGAATCTGCCTTTTAGTTGGCCAATCATACAAATCTTTTGAGCAAGAGTTACCTGCACTATAAGAGCCTCCCTATAACACAACACTCCTTGTACACTGCTCATAATGGAATGCCAAAATGGTTTTTTACAGCTTAACGAGTTAAAAAATGAAAGTGTCAATGGCCACTATAGCTCACTTGGGTGTGATAGAAGAGGAGGGGGGATAGTATAAAGCAATCTGAGTATATTATGGGAGAACTCCATTATATAGCATATCTCCCATCTATATACTCTTGATAATGATATATGCATAAGTTTGATGCGAAAATAAATGTTTCAGACTCTGAAAGTCTGGAATACTGACGGAGAGATGGCGCTACGGCTAAATGATCGCCATTTTGGTTTCGGAATATCCGCGCAAATTAAACAATAAAATATTCCAGTCAAATTACGCTGTAACGAACCATCTAAACAACACAATATTACACGTATTAGGTATGATTGTAGCGTTGTTAACCAGTTAACAGACGAAAATAAACGTAATAGGACTTGTCATCTCTCCCATTAGGAGTAACAACTGTTTTGGCTAGCCTACACATTAGCATACCTAATTTTCACAAAATGCGAATGAATCTAGATGGCCATTTTCATTTTTGCCAAAAAGTGGGCGTGGCTCGAAGTAGGTCAACTGGCGTGCTCAAAATAGGACGTTCAAATCTCTCCCATATGAGTAACAACTGTATGCAATTTGAACATGTATGTGGTCAAACGGTTCTTGAGTTATTGTTGACCGTAGGCAGACATTTGAAATGCATAGTGAAATTCCAAAATCTACCTAAATTGGCATAATTTAAAAAAAATATCAAAACCTTGTGATATGTTTTTGGGGCCAGTCCTCATTTCATTCACATACCAGAAATGAGCAAAATCGTTGACCTGAACTGATTATGGGCCATTTCCATTATTGCCAAAAAAGGGAGGCGTTGGCGTCCAAAAAACTAGGACGCTTCAACCTCGTCCATAGGGAGTAACAACTATATAGTGCAATTAAAACATTGTGGGTCATGAAGGGCGGGCGTGGGGATCTGAGTTATCGTTGATCCGTAGCCAAATGTTGAGGAGAAGGGACGGGGACGGACGTACGACGGAACGAACCACCCAATGGCAATAGGCCATCTTGACGATGTCAAGCGAGCTTAAAAACACGCAAGCGCCGCATGACGTTAAAATAGTGTTCATCGAACAAACGAATTTAAAGCTCGTATGGCCATCACCCCCAATCGTAAGATGATCGAAGCCGACACGGGGTAGTACGAGTGGAGCTTATGTCCCGTAGACACACTGCCTGCTTCCAGACAGTTCTAGGCAATGTCAGCACTAACAGGTGTGTTCGCGACGCGTTGTATCGGCAGCGCTTGTCTCGCAGTTCCGTGCAGATAGAGTCTTGCAGTCGCTGCGCGTGACAGCGCTCCAGGCGCAGCGGTTGATGGGCCCTTGCCGACCCGTCCCCCGCATAGGTTCAGCGTCGCGCACGGTGCCCGTCGGTGAGCGCAGTCGCTTCCAATCTGGCTGAAGATGCAAGCGCAGACAAAACAACATTTATTCGCTTTTTCACCATTGGTTTAATCTATTAGACATGGAGCGTAATTAGCTATTTGACGTTGTTCGTCATTGATCGAGAAATGGAACTTTACTATCGACGTTGTCATCTTATTAGATTATGAAACTTTAGCTATCAACGTTTTCATCATAGACCTGGAACTTACTATTCAACAGTTGTTCATGCATTAGAATGGATATTAACTATCACCGTGTTCATCGATTAGACATCGGAACTTCTATTCGATGTTTGTTCATCATTAGATATGGAACTTATATCGACGATTGGTTTCATCATTAGATAGTGGACTTACTATCAACGTTGTTTATGCATTAAACATTGAGCTTACTATCGACGTTGTTCATTGCCATTAGACATGGAACTTACTATCAACAGTTTGTTTCATTTCATATAGACATTGGAAGCTTACTATCAACGTTGGTTCATCATTAGAACATTGAGACTTACTGATGGACGTTGTTCTCATTAGACATTGGAATTACTATCGCGTTTGTTCATCCATTAGAATGGTAACTTCCATATTGACGTTCAATGTCACGAAAAGAAATGGAACTTACTATCAGACGTTGTTAATCATTAGAATGGAACTTACTATCGACGGTTGTTCATCATTAGACATGGGAACTTACTATTGACGTTCAATGCACGGACGTGAAAATGGAACTTCTATCGACGTTGTTCATCATTAGAATGCGAAATTTACTTATTGACGTTCAAGTCACGAACGACGAATGGAGCTTACTATGACGTTGTTCATACATGTAGACATGGACTTACTATCACGTTGTTCATGCATTAGACATGGAACTTACTATCGAGCGTTGTTTATCATTAGATTATGGGAACATTACTAATCGAGTTGTTCATCATTAGACATGGGAAGTTACTATCGACCGTTGTTCTAATTAGACATGGAATTACTATCGACGTTTGTTCATCAGTTAGACATTGAGCCTTACTATCTGACTGCGTTGTTCATGACATTAGACATGGAACTTACTTTGACGTTGTTCATCAATTAGACATGGAACTTACTAATTGACGTTCAATGTCACGACGAGAATGGACTGTAACTATCGCTGTTGCTTTCACTCATGTAGACATGGAAATTACTACTCGACGTTGTTCATTCATTAGACATTGGAACTTACTATGACGTTTCAAGTGTCACGACGAGAATTGGAAACTTACTATCGGACGTCTTGTTCATCATTAGATATGAACACTTACTATCAACGGTTTAGTTCGGCCGGATGAGAATAATGGGGTACTTACTATCGACCGTTGTTCATCATTAACATGGAAGCTTACTATCAACCGTTGTTCATCATTAGCATGGAACTTAGCTATACGACGTTGTTCATCCATTAGACATGGAACTTAGCTCATCGACGATTTGTTCAGCATTAGACAGTTGGAACTTACTATCAACGTTGTCATATTAGACATGGAACTTACTATCACGTTGTTACTATCATTAGACATTGAGCTTTACTATCGACAGTTGTTCATTCTTAGATATGGACTTTACGTATCGACGTTGTTCACATTAGGACATGGAACTTACATATTCGACTGTTGTTCTCATTAGAAGCATGGAACTTACTATGAGTGTTCAAACTGGTCACGACGAGAATGGAAACTTACTATCGACAGTTGTGTTATCATTAGACATGGAACTTACTATCGAACACTAGTTCATCATTAGCATGGACTTACTATTGAACGTTCAAGCGTGTCACGACGAGGAATGGGACTTTACTATTCAACGTTTGTCATCAATTAGATATGGAACTTACTAATCGAGTTGTTCTCATTAGAATTGGAATTACTATCGACGTTGTTCATCATTAGAATATGAAACTACTATCAACGTTGCTCCATGAGAATGGAACTTACTATCGACGTTGCTTCATCTTAAGGACATAAGAACTTAGCTATCGATGTTTGTTGTGCTTAAGACATAGAACTTGACTATCTGACGCTTGTTGCGTCTTAAGACATAGAACACTATCGATGTTTGTCTATGCATAGAACTAGTCTGTGTTCGTTCTTAAGACATAGATATTAGCTATCGAGTTGTTCGTCTTAGACATAGACTTACTATCGACGTTGTTCGTGCTTAAGACGGAATCTATTACTATTCGACTGTTTCTGTGAACAGATCTTCGATTTTTCTTAAGACATAGACTACTGATCAGCGTTGTTCGTAACGATGAGAAAATGGAACTGTACTATAACGTGTGTTCATCATTAGATATGAAACTTACTATCAACGTTGCTCACCATGAGAATGGAACTTACTATCGACGTTGTTCATCTTAAGACATAGAACTTACTATCGATGTTGTTCGTGCCTTAAGACATAGAACTTTACTAGTCTGACGTTGTTATCGTTTAAACATGCAAACTTTACTATCGATGTTGTTTCCGTTCTTAAGACAATAGACTGATTAACTATCGACAGTTGTTCGTCTTAAGACATAGAACTTACTATCGATGTTGTTTGTCGCTGAGTTGTACTTAAGTATCTTGATGCACTTGTCATTGGAGCCGGTGGCAAGCAGGTCGCCCGTCTGGCTCCACGCCAGACAGTAGATGGAACCCTTGTGGTGCTTCTGTCGCCGCAACACGACCTGCGGGGTCGTTGCCACGTGATCCTCTCTGCAAACATTGCAGCCGAAATCGTTGTCAGAAACCGAGAAACCCATTATCCAAGAAACCCATAGTCCAAGTAACTCATTATCCGAAAAACCCATTATCCGAGAAGCTCATTATATTATCCAAGAAGTTTATTATCTGAGAAATTATAAGAGATGAGGTCCGGTGCAGGTGCGTCCGAGTATTGTGTGCCGCGTAACTAACTTCCTTATCCGATGTGTAACTTTAATGTACTCAACATATTATATGTTAGACTGTTCACGTTTCGGATAATATAATATTGGATTTACACTTGGATTTAATGTTTTAAATTACATTTTGGGTATAAGATTATATATACCTGAGTGTAAACACAAAACACGACACACAAAACATAATACAAAAACGTAAATACGCAATACGATACCAAAACACGCAAAAAACCCACGGCACGCACGACCTTCCCCCCCTCACCTCAGGTTCGAGATCTCAGGGAAAGAGCAGACGCGCAGCACTTTTTGGAGTTGGAGCCGATCGCGTAGACGTCGCCGCGCGGGTGGAACGCGCCTGTCCGTATCGCCTGCACGTCCTCCAGGAATGTCACTCGCAGAAACTTCGACCGCGACTCGCTCTGCGCGAAGAAAACGCGCCGTTAGGTGGCGCCACCTTTTCGGGCAACGAGCAAACTGAGTAGTAGCGGGCACCACTAATCTATATATAAACCGGTCATCTATATATAACCGGTCATCTATATATACGTCATCTATATATATATATATATAATCTTATATATAGATCAGTGGCGGGCACGCGTTGTTAGAAACGCCGTGTATAGCCGTGGCTAGTCTGAACCATTTGTGACGTGTATGACAAAGGTATAACATCTTAGACATCTTAGACTTAGGATAGACATAACTATTTAAATTTCTTATAACAGTCACAATTGTTTTAGTGACACTGACGAATGACCGTCACAAGATTCAGTGATATATTTTAGCTACGTTTTTTTTTTATACAGAGTTACATAAGGCACAGAGACACACAGTTCCCTCTAATCTCATTTCAGTGCGTTTGTGGTTTCTATAATTTTACGAGAAGATAAATATTCAGTTCCATCCCTCTCGTTCAGAAGATGAACCAACGAGCAGAAATCGACAAAACCTCCTCGTTCAGTATCTATGCTAGACGGGAATCATCATGAGATATTTACATTACTGGTCCTCTGTCTCTGGGGAGGCCTGCTAGTTGCTGACTGTACCTCCGCCACCTGATTACTGCCACTCGACTGATCCTGCAAGCATGAATGTGATTAGCATGTTAATTAGCAGATATTCCGCGAAACGATCATCACTTGTTACAGCACTGAGTTAATGTACGATTAATTATCAAAGTCGTGTAATAATAAACTGTTTATACTGCCTAACATCGCTATTGTTAGAGGCCGGAATCGCAAACATACTCGAGTAAATCGCACGCACGGAAAATTTCTTAAATACAGTAAAATCTTTGACTATAATTGATGCATACAGTTAGCTCTGGGAGAATATGTGTTAATTACACCGTGAGTTTAGTTGGTATGTAATTGACTGAGATCTGAAATTTCACAAGTGACACCCAATAAAGCTATTCCCTATGATTGCACAAACTGATGAACTACACTTAACTCACACGCAGAACAAACACAAACATAGGGAAGCGTGACAGGAAAACAGTGATTAAGCAAGCCAGTGATTAACACAAAATGATTCCAAAAAAAAAATTCAACGTTTCACTACCGAAATCAATTTGCCAATTAAAAAAAAAATTCACACGCACCTTTCGTATGTATTTTACCGACCTAAACCTCACAGCTATTTCGTCTCGCTGAACCACCCCCCCACCACAAGGTTTACGTGAAACTTGCTTACGTGCAGCCGCATCAGTTCTAGGTCGTCTTCGAGCGACCTCTCCATATCCTTGGCGAGTGCCACGGGCTTCAGCCTGCTGTCGGGATCGTCGCCCGCCCCCGCCATCCCCCCCGCGAGCACGGGCGACGCCTGCAAGCATGCAGCCGCGAGCACGAGAGCAATCAATATAGACGCCTGATATGCGCTTTACTTACGCTCATTAGGTCTATGTCTCCCTGGGTACTGCCGGACACTGCGGCTTCTGTTGTAGTTGCTGCTCCTAATGTTGCTACTATAACTGCTGTTATTGTTGCTGACATTATTGTTTGTTGATTGTTGATATTATTGATTGTTGTTCTTGACAACAGCAGCCACCGTGTCCGGCAATACCCACGGAGACATAGACCCTATCAGCTTTACTTACGGCCTCGAAAACAAAAGCATCAGTTAAAATGTTGCGGTTTACGCGTGGACATGCTGCGAGCAGTGGTGATTCCGAAGCCGATTTCGGGTTTTATTGCGTGATGTACTCGTTGAGCTGTCACGTTTTTGGTCGAATATTGCTGCGCTTAGATTAGAATCACCGGCAGCCTCATCTTCGGACATCGCTTTCATTTGGAAAATGAAGCATTCTGAATCAAATTGTATTTAATAAATTGCACCCAATGTTGGCTTAACAATCACTACATATATATGCCCATGTGCAGTTTGCCATATTTGAACTGATGACTTTCTTTTTGTGACCCAAAGCAATATTCATAAAAGGCATCTATTAAGATAATAAAACTCTGTTGTGCAAAACCACACATGTATGGGAAAAGACAGAAAGGACACCGACACAACACCACAACAGGGTGCAACGGAGAGAAGTCCTTGATTGCATATGCTCCCCTATTAGAAATTTTGAGCAAAATTACCGAATTTTCCCAAATGTATAAGAATTTGGTAAGACAGAACAAGACCTTGACAAATGCTCAAACAATTTATGTGGAAAGTCACCTGAATACAAATAAAAGATATGGATGCTCATATCATCAAAAATAGCAAAATACTCATGGAAATTGTATGGCAAGGGCTGAAATTACACGGATGTCTCCCTGGCACCATGTGATGCAGACAGTGTGTGTAAACATTCTGCTTACAGAGGGGAACATGACCACAGCACAGCTTCTTGGAAAAATCAATTACACAAGATGTGACGATTTATTCTACCAACTGACCAACTATCAACAGTGAATCCGTGTACGACATGCATGCGGTACTACCATGAACCCCACTTAATGGATTTTCATTCAACAAACAAATAAAAAACACCTATTCAATAAAGACCACGTAGCTGTATGCATATTATCAGTCATAAAAAAATCGACAATTTGTTTAAAAAAAACTAACGATAATTACCACTTCCACTAAATTGTAGTTTACAACACTCTACAATACATTAAGCAAGATGTTCTGCTTAATGAACGAGTCCCCAGGAACGCATCACGCCCGTTAAACGGGGTACAGAAAATAACGTCAATGGCGGATTCTACCTGTGGGAGAGGTGTCGCGTTGCGGCTCCCCGGCGCCTTGGGGGTGCTGGTGCACAGCTGCTGCTTCTGCAACTGCTGCGCTGGTGTCTTCATGTTCTCTATGTAGTAAGTGTCGCTGAACCTACAAGGCAGCGTGGAACACGCGTGAGAACAACGCAGCGAAAATTATGCTCTTCTAAGTGCCATACTTTGCCACACGCTGTGAAACCGCAACCATTCATACGTACTGGAGTGTGGCAGGACAGGGTGTGATAGGCCATGACAAGATAGGTTGAGGTAGGATGCAATGCAGTGTGGCAAGGCTGGGTATGGCAGGGCAGGGCGTGGCAGGGCTGGGTATGGCAGGACATGGTGTGGCAGGCCATGATAGGGTATATAGGTTGTGGTAGGATCTAATGGATTGTGGCAGGGCTGGGTATGGCAGGAACCTTCGTGCTCCAAAATAGGACATTCAAACCTCTCCCATAAGAGTTACAACTGTATGCAATTGGAAACATGAGGGTCTAACGGTTCTTGAGTTATCGTTGACCGTAGGCAGACACTGAAATGCATAAAAAAATTGCAAAAATTTACCAAATTTGCATAATTTAAAAAAATATCAAAACCTGTGTGATGTTTTGGGGCCAGTCCTCATTCATTCACATACCAGAAATGAGCAAAATCCGTTGAACCTGAACTGACTTATGGCCATTTCCATTTTTGCCAAAAAGGGGGCGTGGCTCCAAAATAGGACGTTCAAACCTCTCCCATAGGAGTAACAACTATATGCAATTTAAAACATGTGGGTCAAACGGTTCTTGAGTTATCGTTGACCGTAGCCAAATGTTGAGGGACGGACGGACGGACGGACGGACGTACGACGAACGACACCCAATGGCAATAGCTCATCTTGACGATGTCAAGGCGAGCTAAAAACAGCGAAGCCGCCCATGAGTTTAAACTAGTAGTTCATCAACAACAATTTAAGCTCTATGGCATCAAATCGTAAGATGATCGAGCCCACACGGGGTAGTACAGTGGAGCTATGTCCCGTAGACACACTCCCTGCTTCCAGACAGTTCTAGGCAATGCTGACGCACTAACCGGTGTGTCCGCCGAGCGCTTGTATCGGCACGCCTGTCTCGCAGTCCGTCACATAGATCTTGCAGTCGCCGGCGCCAGCGCTCAGCAGCAGCGTTGACCGGCTGCCGACGTCCGGCATGAAGGTCAGGTCGCGCACGGTGCCGTCGTGCAGCGTCAGCTCCATCTCTGGGCCTGAAATGCAAGCGCAGACAACAACATTAGTTCGCTTTTCAACATTGTTTATCATTAGACATGGAGCTAATTACTATTGACGTTGTTCGTCATGATGAGAAATGGAACTTACTATCGACGTTGTTCATCATTAGATATGAAACTTACTATCAACGTTGTTCACCATGAGAATGGAACTTACTATCGACGTTGTTCATCATTAGACATGGAACTTACTATCGACGTTGTTCATCATTAGACATGGAACTTACTATCGACGTTGTTCATCATTAGACATGGAACTTACTATCAACGTTGTTCATCATTAGACATGGAACTTACTATCAACGTTGTTCATCATTAGACATTGAACTTACTATCGATCGTTGTTTCAATCATTAGACATGGGAACTTCATATCGACGTTGTTCCATATTAGAATATGAACTTACTATCAACGTTGTTATCATTAGACATGGAACTTACTATCAACCGTTGTTCATCCATTAGACATGAGCTGTACTATCGACGTTGTTCATCATTAGACACTGAACTTAACTATCGACGTTGTCATCATTAGACATGGAACTTACTTATTGACGTTCAAATGTCCGCCGCAGAAATGGAAACTTACTATCGACGTTGTTCATCATTAGACATGGAACTTACTATCGACGTTGTTCATCATTAGACATGGAACTTACTATTGACGTTCAATGTCACGACGAGAAATGGAACTTACTATCGACGTTGTTCATCATTAGACATGGAACTTACTATTGACGTTCAATGTCACGACGAGAAATGGAACTTACTATCGACGT